AAAGCGTAAAATGAAGTCGCAAACATACGCGCGAAATCCACTAACTTTGGCATTTGGAAGACCCGCAAAGTTATTGAGCGTCAATTTACAATTAGTAATTTCCTCTATTAAAATATATATATATTTATACTTAATAAGTATTTATATTTTAAACTTGATACGTAATATAGATTTTTAAGCAAAAATTGAATAAATGGATTTACGTTCGGAAGGTTGTGCAACATGGGTAACGGTATGATCGGCAACCTCATGACCCTTGGCATACCATTCAGTGACCATGGAAAAGTTAGTGTATTGAATGCTAACATAATAAGTAGTTTTTATAGGACATCTAAAGACAAAAAATTCGTAGTGGCGTACGTATACGTAGGATTAAAATTCATGTTATGTCGTTAATCACGTGAAAGACGTCACGTACATACCCATTAGGATTTTTCCTACTTCCCAGTAATTGGTTTACAACTAAAAGAAGATACAGAATTATCAGCATATAATTCTGTATGTTTCTGAATCACTTTTTATACTAAAACAAATGAATAGGTAAATACCTTGGATAGTACTTTGTTGAACAGAATCGTCTAAATAAAAAAAGCGGTTAACCAAAAATAACAAAAAGTAAGAAAACGAGAAAGGAATGAAACAAGCATGTAACAAATATATACCAAAAGTAAACATGAAAAATTGTGGAGTTTCATCAAGAGTCAGACTCCGGTTTCCGAGAAAAGTTTTGCTAGAACAAAAACAACTTGGAGCTTTACAAACTGAAGGATCACAAGAATAACTTTCAACGCCTATCAAAAAGCTAATGCCAAGAAGTGAGCAAACCAAAGCCAAGAATAACATTTTAAATGGATTCTTTATCATCTTAAAAGGAATGAAAGATATAAAACAAGTATACAATTGTATTTTTCATGTACAAAAAAAATCAAATTAAAAGAAAAAAAGAAGAAAAAAAAAAAAATAACAGTAAAGAAAATATTGGTAGTTTTTTTTTTCTTAAATAAATTTGTGTCCCAAATAATAACGTTGATCAAAGACAATAATATAACAGATTTATTTTATGATTAGAGTTAATCCACTAATCGAATAAAGTTTCTACCGGTATAAAGCTTTTTAAATTTATCATTTTACGGCTTAATCATCTAATTATTGGTATATAAATATAAAAATTCAGGTGATTTACTTTCTAACTATAGAATATGGGAAAAAAATCATTTAATGTTGAAAAATAACTTTTCGGTAAAGTGATTCTCGGTCCACCCGAGCTTATAGATAAATTCAGAATTTATATATAAACCGGTTTAACTTTACAAAGTTATTATTCGATATTCCTGTATTTCATAACAATTTGTAATACAATGCATAAATAAACATGCACGTTAATCTTCAAAATGCATTATTAATATTATTAATTTGTTTTAGGAATAACAGAATATATATAGAATATACATATATATACTGTTGTTCTATTTCTGTATTTAGAAACAAAAAAAAATCAGCGGTTTCAGAGTCAGTATAAATTCAATGCTAAAAAAAGATGGTTCAAAAAAAAAAAAAACCCCAATTTTTTTTTGAAAAAAGTATTAAACCTATTTTTAAAGATATATAGATATATATTATATAATCAGAATATTTGAGTTGGTCGTAGTTGATTAAGCAGTATAACAATAAAGATAAGTAGAAATATGTATATATTACTTACTATTAATTAATATATACATATTATTTGTTACTACTCAGAAATACGATGCTTTTTAATTTAAATATTTCAGGAGTAAAATTATTGTGTTCTCCATCAAGATTTCTCTGACCATTCAAATGGTTTAATAAAGATTAGACCAATGGCCAAATATTCTGTTATTGGTCAAATAATTATCTGTGTGACTGAAATTTATTTGATAATGCTGTATTTTTACTGCATTAATGAAAACTGAATAATTTAGTATGAATGCGTCTCCTTTCACACAAGAAGATGTATGTGAAACATCAGCGTAAATCATCTAATGTTACTGTAATACCTACTAAGGATCTGAATATGCAGTATAAGCTGAGAGATTCAATGCTACTACAGTCTACCAAGGATCCTGAATATAAACTTCTAGGAGGAAAAAAAAAAACAACAAATATATATATATATATAATTCAAATGTTAGTACGTAGCATATAATAAAGTAGTCCTTGAATAATCCAATTCTTTAAATTATAAATAGTATATAGTGATCTCATTATTACGACAAGATGACTCACTCTATATAAAGAAATTTAAAAAAACTTATTTTTTCTTTATTAAAAATAAATAAAAAGTTGATATGCATTGCATTGCCTCATATGCAGCTATATTCACTTCTACTAAAACTTAAGTTCAATTCTATATGATTTCTATATAAGTGACGCCAAGAGAAAATGGGTCTTCAAATATAAATTTTATGAACTCTCATATTTCCTTGGTTTCACACATATGAAAATGAGTGAAAGGATTTTATTTTCTAATAAGCCTGGATAAGTTACACCACTATCTTTGAAATTGTTTAACAGACGAGACAAATTTAGATTATTTTTTATTTCACGTTTTAATACATAGTGTTTAATACTTGTTGACCTAAATAAATTAATTCTTCAATTTGCATCCGTTGATTTTCTTGAGAAATTATATTCTTTTGTTCATTATAAAATGAAATTGCTACACATTTAATCCTTTTTATGACTTCCATTTCGAGCTCTTTATAAGATGGCGAAGCGCCTGATATAACGAGAAGACAAAATAAAAGCGTATTTGCTAAAAGTATTGTTTGAATTTCTTGTTCAAATGAATATCCTTCCGATTTTAGTTTGGGACCTGCGTAATGATGATTACCAACATATTAGCCATTTTGAAAATAAATAGTGTTGAACCCTGATATATTCATTATTAATATATAATTCTATAATTAGAAACTATTTCTGTTGTGCCACTTTATTTAAAGAAAAGTGGTGGTGTAAATTTTAATTTTTGATCACCGGTAAAGCTTAAATGCATCGCCTATAACTTTATCCTAACATTATATTAATTCTTAATGAATTTGGCGTATCACTATTCCGCGTTAGACGCTGTTTTAAAAAGAGAAATTCATAAAAAAAAAAAAAAAAACTTTGTAACTTTATAGGTATAGTTACTACCTGAAATGCAAGTTACGTTTTCTTTTTTTTTTTTACGATTCCGAATACTCAAGTACAATTTTGGATTAGATGATTAGCATCACACCAATTGTAACAGAAAACCAAATATAGGCTTAGTATCAAAGTTTTAGTCGTCACAATGATTATACCAAGGTTCAAAGTTTGATTGATTCGATTTATACCAAGAATCTGCGCTATTTGACACCCGGTCTTCACAATTTTCCAAAGTTCATCTTCATTTCTAGCAATGAAAGTATCACCTTCTGCTACAACGACGGTTAACAAAACTTGTAATATACTTAAAATTTCTTTAGATTTTGTATTTGTAAGATTTTTTGTATCTATGTTTGTCCAATTTTTCTCCCAATAATCAAACATTATTTGTGCTCCCCTTTGATCTAAAAAGACTTGGCGTAGATTATCCTGTGACGTAATGTTTAGGAATGCTGATATCAATATTTTAACAAGGTCCACCTCGGTAGAAGTTTCTAAACTATATTAAAGATTGTTAGGAATTATGCGAAAATGACAAAAGTCCATAGGTGCAGACAAACCGGTTTTTAATATAAGTCTGCACACAGATCGGGCAGTGGCCGGTAAAAAATATTTGTACATATAATATATTTGTAATATCTGTAAATCCACGTGTCGATCAATGTTGTATTTGATTATCACACATAAATAATTTCGGTTGTGTATCCTTCACCCACTTGTTACACCCGATATCATTCAAATTTTTTACCGTCCCTAATCGAGTTTCATTCTGGTCAAACAATCGTCTCACGTAAAATCTTCTTCGCTATTATTAGTGCAAAGAAGCCATAGTGTCTGTTCTTCGGCATTGAAAAAGTTCCTTCTTTAAAAGTTTGGACAGTAGTTAAATAATGACCAAAATTATTTGCATATTGGTGACACACCCTAGTCCGGGTCAGTTGGTTAGATATGCCTAACACCTACTAATATCTACTAACCAACTGATCCATAACGTGGCACGTCACTGATTTGCTCAATTATAATGCTTAAAATATATAAGAAGGGTCGTTCAATAGACAAACTTTCGATTCCAAGTTAAAATTATGGCTTCTTTGCATTAAAGCAAAGGTCTGATGTAGAGTTCCTATCCATTATCCGTTTATCCATTGGATATCCAGATCTGAATTTATTCGGATATCCGTTTTACTATTGATATCCGGATAATTATCCGAATATTTGTCGGATTATCCAGATACCATTAGTAAATGGATATCCGGATAAATTCAGATATGGATAAATGGAAGACGGATTTATCAAGATTGGACCTCTAGTCTGGTGCATTTTTGACACAACTTTACATATGAAATTTAAGTATGACAATTGTTTGACCATAATAAATTTATCCGTGTGACTGATAATAAATTCATACCAGTAACGACACGTGTCAACTAAAAACGGCATCAAAGCTATAGTTTCTTTTTCTAATGAGCTTTCTTCGGCAAGCCATGCGGAAAGAACGCGAATACTAGCTGTGATTTTCTCGTCTTTCATAGCAGACTTAATAGAAGTTCCTCTTTCCTATGAAGAGTTAGTGCATATTAAGTCTTGGGTTCGAAATAATATAATTCAAAGATAATGTTGAATAAGACAATACTTTAACATCTATTAAATATTCAATTATGGCTCGAAATGTTTCAATCATAGTACCCTTTAATCGTAGTAAAACATCAGGCTCTAATTTTACTCGGGCAGTTTCTACTTTTTCCTGTGATTCAAGTATATTTTCGATGTGTGATAGATATTCGATCGATTTTTCTAAAATAGTATAGCATGCCGGTAGCATCACTTTAAGACGTTCGTTAAGTTGATCATTCTTTTTTTCTTGTTCTAACTCATCCAACATCAACCGTATTTCAACGCATGATAATTGTATCACTAACGCTGAAAATTTAAATTCATTATCAATATCCCCAGCTGCACTCTTTGAGATCTGGGTCAAAGTAAGATTCGATGTAATAGGTGCAAATAATGAAATAGCACCAAAATGGTAAAGAAGTAGCATGACAAGTGACAGTGCCTTATCACGTTGTTCACTCCCTAGGATTAATAAGTGATCTTAAATTAATCCAAATATCAATAAATTATGTTTTTAAAGTTAATTTTACATCAATTTACCTAATTTATTACTTAAAATTTCCAACAAACTATGCCTAAAATTTTGAATCAAAATGCTAGTTTGTGACTCATCATTAATTAAAAAATCTTGAACAAACTGTTATTTAAAAAAATAATAGTTAGGTACTATAAAAAAAATTGCCTATAAAATTATGTAGTTTATTAAAAACTTGCCTGATCTGGCAATTGCGTAAATATATGAACAAAAAATTGAAGTAAATTAAATTTAAGTTTGTCTTGATTTATTCGAAATGTATCGGACAGTTGTTTGAATATTGTATATATATATCCTTGAATAATTATTCTAGAACTAGAAATAGGCTGATCCTGTGAAATTGATGTAATTACACCGACAGTGGTGTAATAAATTACATTTAGAGCAAGTTCCTGTATTTCGACTGTAAACTATGTTAGTAAAATATTAAAACAATGATTCAAGGAAGAATTTTAGCTAAAAATATTAACCATTCGTAAAAGACGTTATACATTGCAAAATCTTTGAAGTAATTTTGTCATCTATAATATAATTCAACCCTTTATTTGCGGACGATAATCTAAGAAATATCCCTAGGATATCTCGCGTCAATTCTTCGTTACTAGATAATTGATGCGAAAATTAGACATACATATTCACTATTAAACTTAAATTATTAATGCTTTAACTACGTACTCCGGAGATATAAGAGACGCGAGAGTTGGAATACGTGCAAGAATCTGTTTTTTATTTAAAAGTTCGTCGAGTGCGCAAAAGCAAGATAATATATTAACAGCTATTGATTTTAAAGTAAAGTCTGGTTGATTATCGTCATTTACACTCCCTATTACAGTATAAAAGATCTCATAAAGTAAGCTTGGAGATTTTTATAATAATTAAATATTATGAATTAATAAATACCAGTTCTCATTAAGCGCTCCAAAAACTTAAAATCCATCGCGTCAAAAATAAGTAACACATTTTCTTTATCTTGTTTCAAAAGTCGTGGTAAAAGAGTAAGCGCGACAAATTTAGCTTCATCCGATGAAGATGGATTCAATAATTCTATGCATCGATCAATTTCACTTTGGTGTTCTTGAGAATTTGACATTTTTCGTTTATCAAACTTTTATCGTTATCGTTATCGGCTATGACCTGCCAATTTTTGTCATGGTAGATTCTCGATTTTGATTGGCTAACAGCTGAGATCGTAATCTTGGCCAGCTAAATAGAAATGTTTGGGAAATAGGCCAGCTCTATGATAAAATTAGCCCAGGCAAATCACAATTATGAGAAATAATTTGTCAAAAAAACTGGTTATGTCAAGCAAAAATTGGACCTTTCGATCTAAATACAGTCAACTCTCACTGAATCAAACCTTTGGAGCTTAGCTTCAAAAAAGTTCGGCTTACAAATTTAATCCGAACTTTATAAAAAATTTTGGTAATTCGTGACTAAAGGTGTGGCTGTCTTATATATAAATACTTTTTTCTACCAAGTAAATTCTTTTTTAAGCTTCTAATTACAGTTATCCGGCAAACTCATATGATCATGAAAAAATTTCTTTTTGTTATTTTTTTCATTTGTTACGATGTAATTATG